GAGAGCTTTACTAATATTAAATGCACATTGCGTGACATCTCTCAAGGGCAAGGACCGGCCTTAAGAGACAATGGATATAGAATTTGAGGCTGGAGTAAGATATCGTTTTAAGATAGTAGAGACTAAACAAGGAAATAAAAGATTAAGAAAGGGGAAGAGCGCACTGCACAACAGGAGATTGTGGCCAAGGATATGACATTCAAACGTCTTTCATCTTCTCTTGAATAAGATGGAGGCGTAATCGATGAACTATTTATCTCGCATATAATCCACACGAGTATAACGAGATTAAGAAAAAGGATCGCCTGAGCTGTTCATAGATATCCTCCAGAAGTCGTATAATAAGCTGCTGCATCTCGATTGAATCATACTCAGCTAACAAATCCTATAAAAGCTTACATTACACACGAGACTGGTTGTTAGCGTGGAGGAGATGCTAGTTGCGGAGAATAAGGAAGGCATTGAGAGGCTCGGAGTCAAGTTACATGACACCTGCGTCGGATTATACAGCTATTCGAACTAATATTCTAGATGTCATGTGAAAATAAGGTCATGATCAAAACCAAACAAGCATTCCAAGGAATCAACTAATGGAGACGGACATATCCAACCAAGAAAAGAGCTTTTCTTCAAGCAGGCAGCATTAGGTGAAGACCAACGCTGGAAACGACTACTCGTGGTCAAAACACAGAAAAGGACTTGATAGAGCGAGCACTCTCAACGCACGCAGGTTATACGAATATTATGGAAACTGATGACATATTATAGATTAGTTCACAAGTAGTCTGCAAACTACGTTCTTAAAAGATCTTTCGCTCCCTCAGCTTCCTTATTAGTGAAAAAACCCTCTCTATAAATAATATAAAGTTCTACATTAAGAGGCGGCAAGATCAAAAGAGAAAAATAAATATATCTAGGTGCTTTCCATACCCCCGAAAATCCAATAGGAGAACTGCTATAGTTATTCTATAGTTAATTAAAGTAACAAACAATATGTTGCATAAACTATGAGGTAATTCTCTCTTGATATATATATAGGATTAATGCGGATAAAAGTCCTGATAACTCTCCGAAATTTGCTATGTCCCAAGATCTGACTTATGCAGATACTGGACCTAAACAGATCTATCAGCATAGCCTAAAAGATTTAGTTAGAAACAATAGAATCTCCACTGAGATCCTGAGGCCCAGCTATGCGGTTCTATGACTATCACCCGATATCCCATTGCAGTTGACTTTTAAATTCATAATCTGAATATAAGTTCCTCTAAAAACTATATGAAATGCCATTAGGCAAATAATGAAATTGTCTCTAATATCTACGCTTAAGCACAAAGCTGGAAAAACCTGGTGCTCTTCAATCTGCGAGAAAGATCAAACAAGAACTACAGAAGTTCCTAACATGTGCGGACTCGCTTGATAAATAATAGAGGGAAGAAAATATAGCCGTCCTTAGAATGCAGCGAGTCTTAAAATGCTCCAGACTTATTGAGACAGTTCTCAGAATTTGAGGTTATGGACAGAAGGACAGCTCATAAAGAGAACCAAAAAATACTTCTCTAACAAGTACAACCACACTCCGAAGCCTCATGAATCATTATTTAATGAAGGCCTCTGTGAGCCCTCATGCGCTACCTCTCGAGATCGTCTCTCAAATTACCATATGAGTGTGGACTCTCTACATCACTCTTGTGCGCAAAAAAGCAAAAAGACCCTTGGTACCTTTTAAGAAGCATCATATTCCACGTGAGATTCTATCCTTCTGAACTTATGATAAAACTAGGATATGAAAAAAATGGTTTTATGAAGCAGGCCTCATTCGACTTCAAGGGTACGATATAGGCGAAGAAGGAAGGTAGTTAGCTCTAGCTTAAAGAAGTTTCAAAAAGCTAAGCCATCCTCGAAGGGAAATGAGCAGAGAAGTCAATGCACGAGATCCCGGTGCTTTAGCCACCTTAAGAAATGGAGTTTGAAGGAAAGCGGAATCATTTACCGGACAGCGAAAGCCATTCAATTCAGTTTGGTTTGACAGCTGCTTAACAAAAGGGGCGGGGTCTTGCGCTTTTTGATCGGAATGCAGCTGGCATTACCTTTTTTCTTTGAATCCACCTAGCAAAAAGGCCTAAGCGCCTATTCTTCCATGAAAGCTGTTAGGAAGGGGGGATTAGCGAGACCTCATTTCCCTAGGAAGAAGGCAAAGCAGTGGAAAGTACGGAAGCAGAAAGGGAGGACTCGGACAGAAAGGAGGGTACTAAGTAGTTTAGCTACAGAGTACCGCTTGTGGAAGGGGCATTTCCAATAGCATTCCCAACTTTGAATATCACCATATTCCTGGTCAAGGCTCAACAAGCTGGCTGCTTCAGTTAGAGAGGAGGAGGACGAGAAACTGAATAAAATTAAAGGGGACTACAACGAACGAAAGGATTGAACCAAGGGCTATTACTATAATCACGGGGCTAAAGGGGCATTCCGATTGGTCTTCGAGATGGGTATAGTTCCATTCCAGATTTGATTAGTAGGGATTCGATTGTCTTGTCTGAGGAATTTTACAAGTGGACGATTAAGCAAGCTTCCTTTAGGTCCTTTTTTTTAACCCATCTCTGTTCTGTAATAGGCTAAACTATCAACCGGCATCTTTCTTTAACTGACTTTTCTGTTCCAGTTAGGGCCACAAGACAAGCAGATCTTCCGTGGCAGCGCAGTAACCCTTATTTAAGTGAGCCTTCCACCAGCTGAGTCTCCACAATCGATTTAGGAAGGTTGATTCGAGATTGGCTTTCATTATATGTTTCTAGTTCAAGAGTTCATACCGTTAAAAGAGAAATCTTTTCCTTCATTTCGATTTTCTGGAATTAGCCATTCTGCTTTATGGGTTGAAAGTCCTTCTGGATTGGGTGAAGATGGAAGAGATTGGTGGATACCATTGGGTTGGAACTCACTCGAAGCAGAAATCGAATAAAAAAGCGAGACGAGAGGCGACCAACGGAAAGCTACTGTAAAGGAGAGGAGCAGAAACCAGTAAAGTAGCACCCGGTGCCAAGTTGCACATTTCAAAAGTAATTGATATCCATATTTCACAGGGTATTCACTCGGAGTTTTTAGCTAACTAACTAAAATAAGTCAGAATCGGCGCGGGAGAAAAAACTTCCTAAATCAGTAAATCCGGAAGTCCTGCCTTCCCAGAGTTCTTTCCTTTGGCACAAAAGCAGCTTACAATACAGGGCAAAAGAAAGAGTTGGCTGAAAGAGGAACTGGAAAGGGCACTTAGTCCAACTGTACTCTTTAACAAAGTTCCATTCGCTTCACACAAG